AGAAAATATAGCGTAAAATAAAAGCATGGCCAAGGTTTGCGAGATCGACATGAGGAGTACTTTCAAGATTGATAACATGGAGACAGCTACTTACTGTCATTTTGGGGCTTCCGGAGCTTCTATCAGAGGGTTGTGTAAGGCTCTCAATATCCAACACAACGGTGTGAGTTCTATCTGAAGCAGTTGTATCAGTCTATACATTAAAATCAATAAACAACATCAGTACATTGATGGATGCATAAACAATGCGACCATGAGATAGCATCAGCGACCTACTTACAAGTTACAACGCAATCGATCCAATTTTTTTTCAATAACAATATTTAACGGCAGACATTCACAATCCTATAATATGGTATCAGAATCACCTACGTGAGAGTGTTTTGGACCGTTAATTATTTGAGTTTAATAATTTGGAGCTCGGAAACTTATTCTAGATTGATAGAGCGTTTTAAAAGATTTCATCTGTCTAAACTGCCATCAGTAAACAGGATTAAAAACCCAAATCTAATAAAATCCAACAGTTCAGTAAAACATTGTTTATCAATTATTTATCTAGGCTGTAATTTCATATTTTCTTTTGTTGTTGACTGACAGTTTGGAAAGATGTAGCATTTGGCCCCCAAGGACTACAAGTACCTGAAAAACAAACCCTAAAGTAGTGGTAGTGGGCTAGCTACTGTCAGAAGAGTGACATTCATTATTTATATTCTTCCCATACCATATACGCTATAGCCAGTACCAGATAAACCTGCCCTAATTAAGTCAAACAAATTAAACAAGTTGACAGAAAACTAACTGTTAGGACTAAATCCAAACCCAAATGAAATTAGATGGGTAAAAATTCCCTACTCTTGATTGTTATCTAATTCTTGGACCACTCCCATGTGATGTGACGAAACCGAGGCAAGAAAAACTATACAAAAATTACTCACGCTAATTAAGCTTAATTATTATTCTTTTGAAATTAATACTATAAATAGGCAATCGTGGAACCACATGCACCTAAAATATCCCAAGAAAATTGCTACGAGGACTCTCTCATGGTGGGCTGTCCCCTCATGTTGTTGGTATGAGAATTAACGTTAAAAGGTGGCAACGAGTTCACGACAGTAAAATTACAATGATTTGACGAGTTAAGCACAGTGGTAAAATTAACAACCACTATTGAATCTGTGAGATGAATGAAGGTTTGTCTGTTAGCATGGTGGAAGTGGAGCCTTATGGCTTCAATAATTGCTATCTACCTCTATATAAATATATGTATATTTACAATTTGTTTCTTTATTTGGACTTTGACATCAACCAGGCATTTGTTCTATAGCTGTAGTTACCTGTATGCTGCAGATTCCTTCATTGCAGGAAGCAGGAAGGTGGGGATTGTAAATAAACCTAGTTAATTACAGATTAGATGCTAATAACGAATTTTAATTACAAACATTGAGATACTGTTTGCTAGTTAGCATAGTTTTGTCTTTTAAGTTTTATTCGAAATTCAAATTTTCAAATAACATACAGACATCCAAGAGCTATAGGGAGTATGATGAACAGCAGCAAATGCACAAAGTGACAATATATAATGTGTCACTTCAATATGGATGCTTAAACGGTCAATTTGTTCAGACTCACACGGAGGCTTAAACCATCTGTAAATCAAATTAGTAATTAGTATTTCTAGGAATATCATTAGATGATATGAAGAGAATGAACAATTTCGAATTTCAATTATGACACGCCACATTAGAAGAAAGGAGGACTTAAATTAAGTACAAATTATTATTCTTCATGCAAAATATTGGAGTACAACAACTTAATTATGAAATAAGCAGAGAGAACATGAAAACTAACAAATTATAAAAAAAAAAAATTAAACATGGAGATTATCAGTTCATCTTAATTGTATATGTAATTTAAAGAAAACTGGTAATAAATGAAAACAATTTGAAAATTAAAGCAGAGGAAAAATTCAACGATATATATGTAAACTGAGATTTAAGTCCCAGAACAATAAGTTCCACGTACTAACGTAAACACTGAGTCATTACGAATTACCAGTTTTACAAAGTGTATAATCTAGAAGAAGAGTACCTGTCCGGTCTGTTCCTCCCTCTCAAAATCTCTCTCCATTGATTTCTCAGAGAAATTAAGCATAGCATCCCAGAGAGAAAGTCGTCGTCCTCCTCCTCCTCCTTGATCAATATTCCTCAATGTTTGCCGCCTCTAACTTAGAACAAGTTATCAACAGAGCAGCTCACCGCTGATCGCCGTCGGAAACCTCTCTCTCTATCTGCCTCTCTTCTGAGGTTGAAATTTGAAGATGTTAGCGTCAGAAGGCAGAGAAGAGAGGAGAAGACTGCCTCCTACAGCTCCTTACTGGCTGACTGGGCATAGCAATTAGCTAGTGTATCGCCAGATCGCTCTTGCTTTCTCTCTCCGATGAGTCTCTCTCCAAACATACACATATGTTGGTAAGTTATCAATTACGCCATCATATACATGAGGTTATAATTGAATTATTAGTTAAATATTGATTAATGTGTTCATTTAGTATTGACACATATCGTTTGATTTGTAAATTTAATTTAGAAATTTGATCCCCATAACATTATCTATGCTCTATTGGTCTTTGTTTAATTTTTTAAAAGTCAAACTTAAAATTTTCCACATAAAAAGGTACTCCAATAAAAAACAAAACCATAAATATTTCGCAATTTAAGAAAATTCTTGTTATATCGGAAATACGACTATATATATATATCAAGTGTCATAATATAATTAGATAGAAATTTTATTTTTTTAAGTTTTCACCCAATTGTATTAAGGTAATGCTAGGGAGACCGAACTTCTAAACTAAATTATGTAGATGTTGATTGTTAAATTATTAACGTGCTTATTTTTTTTATTAGTAATACATCATTTGGTTTAAAATTTTATTCTTCTTAACAATATCTATTGTATTATGACTTTATTACAATTTGTTTACCTAACTGTATTGTTGGCACATTTAAAAATCTCTTGTAACACATAACAAGCATATCAATCCAAGTTCTAATTTAGTGAATTAATCAAGGGGTGTGATATCTACATACCTCATTTTACTTCTCACACACATTTTGAATTTTCGAGCATCAGATCAGATGAATTAAAGAAGATCAACGAACATAAATAATCAAAAGGTGTGTGTGAAGTAAAATAAGATGTGAGGATAACACGTCCCTTAATCAAATGTATAATGTTTTCGGTAATTGTGTGTAATTGTGATTTGTGTGTACTTCCCAATCCATCACGTATTCATTATTTTATGTGAAATCGGGTACCTCTTCATCCATATTTCTAGCAAGTGGACTACCACATAACGTAATTTGGTACAAGTAATTTAAGTTACATATTGTAGCACACATACAGTGGTACATGAATGTACGCACGCCGTTCCTATTTAAATTTGAATGCTCTCACCAACTTTTGCTCGCTTTGTTTAGTATTATGTAACAAATCATTTACTTGTAGAATTGACATAATTGAAAATGAAGAGATTTTGTGCAAGTCATTTAGTACTATGGTATGGTGTAGTGATATTCTTTTTAGTTGTAAGTGAGAGGTTTTAGGTTCGGTTATCATCAAACGCGAATTTGAACCGCATTACTACTAGTCTATTATGAGGATAAGCACATCCTCTCCCCTTAGTGTAAATTATATCGTTTGTTAAAAGTAAAAAATTAAAATAAAATAAAATTGTGCAAGACTGTTTGAACGGGTTAGATTAAAACTTTCAATTAATATATGTAAATTAAGTTATTTATAGCAATTATTTTTAGAAAGAAAACTGAAAACTTTTAATTTTTAACAGATTATGATTATTAAATAGTTCAAAAAATAAAATGGCGGAAGATTAAACTTAAAAAAAAAAATCCTCGAAATTTTTTATAGAATCAAACTACTTAGTTAGCTGTAAGTGGTATTTTACCATAGCAGTGGAAATATATTGAACCTTGTATGTATTCAAAACCTTTTAGAAGCTGCTCTGACAAAATATATCGTTTGATTAAAAAAAAAAAAAAAACTACTTTAAACTACTGAAAACAAATTCCGGGAAGAAAGCATGGTAAGCACAACGACGGCCTATTGGGTTTAAATGTTTACAGCAGTAAATGAAGTGGCTTTGCCATGCACACGTGGCATACAATGCAAAGGAATTGGATCTCATTCAGATCTACTTTGTGGGGATCTTCATATTTTAATCATTCATCATATATCGTGCAATCAGAAATTATTTAACTTTTTTATTTAAAATTAAATATAAATAATATCTAATGAAAACAGACCGCTCGATATACGATAAACAGTTAAAATATAGAGATTTCTAGAATCTCTATAAAATGGATCCGAAGAGGATGCCCTTCCCAATGCAAAACATCCTCTAACGTATATGCTTTTTTTATTCCTTTTTTGCCCTTTCTACTTTCTTTTGTTGATCCAATTAATTTTCCTCCTTTTTAATTTTGTGCTACCGCATGTGAATCTCTGTTTATTTATCCATTAATTAATGTGGGTATCTAAGGGGCCAAGCCCAAGGCCCAATCAAAAGGCCCATTTCAGAAGCCTATCCAATTTAGCCCACCTACTTTATACTCAACCCTCGTGCAATCACCACTGTTTTTGGATTCTGTTAAGATAAACTAGTAATAATGCGGTTCAAATTTGTTTGAGTCAAACTTAATACTTCTTACTTACAAAGAAAGATGAATACTACTAAACCGTTACTAAGTGGCTGGATTCTAGTAAGATTGAATTGGAATTTTAAGTGAAGTTGTTTTATTAAACAATTTAGAATCGAATATGTCATACAAGTTGTTTATTAGATTATCTTAATTAAAATTGGATTACTGAAATTCCCTATAAGCTACTGGTTAAAGGAAAATCTTCATTTTTTTACTAAATAAATGTTTTCTCTGATCACCTGACATTGGTAATAAACGTGTTACATGTAAATGTTTCTTCAATACGTAAAACAAGAAACAAGAATTAAATCGCAAAACCTTTACACAAAGTACTGCACTCTACAATGCGTAGTACAAGAATCTCGGTTCAATCCCTAAAGAATCAGAATACATGATTAATTTAATCCGCCGCGTTAATTACTTTACTAATCACTCACAATCAAATGCTCAAGTGTTCTTCCCTTGGCAGACTCTGAACGGTATCCGACCATCTCCCCGGCGAGTGATCACTGCTGTTGGAAGACACTTGGCCCTCCGCCCTAGCATCCCTTATCATCCTTAGAACATCTCTCATCGCCGGTCGGTTCTCCGGTGAAAGCGAAACACAAGCCATTGCAATGTTAAGAAGTGCCTGCAGCTTCTCCTCTGATACCTCATTTCCCGAGACAGGGTCATCCCCTGACTCAGTCTCTTCTTCGCGCACTGAGCGGACCCAGCTAGGGATGTCCGAACCATGTTCCTGGACAAGGTCTTGGAAGGGAGTCTTTCCGGTTAGGAGCTCCAAGAGGAGGACGCCGAAGCTATACACATCAGCTGGTTGGGTTGATGGTTTTCTGATGTCGCGACATTCTGGTGCTCTATAAAAGAGAGTGGTTGCGCTAGGTTCTTCGAGTGAATTAGGATCTCCGAACAATGTGAGACCATAATCCGTCAAGCAGGATTCAAAATCGGAACCTAACAAGACGTTTGAGGATTTCAAGTTTCCATGAGTTAAGCCGGGGTTCTGGTGGATATAAACAACTCCACTCGCCAAGTCCTCAGCTATTTTAAGACATGACGTCCAGTGAAGCGGCTTACCGCCTCCTGAAGTTCTTGAACCTGTAAAATCAATTGGAATATATCACAACTAGAATTCGACTAATGACACTTTCAAGAAAACTGCAACAAGTTTAATCAATCTCAATTTCACCAGTTCAGTAACTTCTGGACGAAAAAAAAACTCCGGTGAGTTCTGGAAAATATTCAATGAAATTATACGCAAATTTGACTTGAAATCAATAATGTTAATGTGCAGGATCCTACCCTTCATAAGAATAAGAGTTTGGTGCTTTATGAAAATCCAGAAACTGGTAAAAAAGTGTTCTGTTCATACAAAATTACTGGCTATTGACGAAAAGACATGAGCTTTGAACGAGCTACCAAAACCAGCTAAAAGCCAAGTATATAATGATATGATTAGAATAGCGAACGCACAACGCACACAGTTATATGACAAGAGAGATAGACATAGACAGATGGAATATATCTCTGGCTACACGGTTGATATCTCCAAATAATAGTCAAATGTGCAACGTGCAAACACGAAAAACGAAGGATTTGAGCCAGTGAGACATCACTAACAAGCTGAGGTCACACTCAAAATTTGAATTGTTGATTAGCAAGCCAACTCCTTTCCAAAGATTGCGATTAATTACTGTAAAATTACCCTGTAAAAGCCTACATGCAGGGAACACATTTGATCTAATCTTGTCTTTATTTACCTGAACTTCTTGAAGAATGTACTGATAAAGAGAGATTGACAGTAACTCATGCCACACGAGCCTCATGAACAAAAGAAAAAAAAACTTTTCAGACAATTTGCATGCCAAAGAACAGCACTTTCGGAATATTTTGCTTACCCAAGAAAAAACTACCCCTATGCTTACTGATACGTTACTTTCCTTTCAAATCACAATCCCACAAGTCCGTTGAGAATTCTTTTTGGTATATGTGTAAATACCACCATCCCAAGCCAACAAGGTCTCTATTTTATCCTTGCTTTGCAGAAATACTGTTTCCACGACTCGAACCCATAACATTTTGATCACAAAACAGCAACCTACCTAATGGTTGCGCCAAGGCTCTCCCTTATATGTGTAAATACCACGAGTAATACCACAATACTCATTTTTTATTCAAGCATTATTCTCATCCAATCTAAATCACAAAGTAAAATATTCAAATTTAAATGCAGGAAAGCACTTGATCTCGAAGTCTGACGAGCAAGAACATGCATTATAAAATATACAGAATGTACATGGAATTCAGTCACTGAATCATTGATCACATGAGTGATGAAATCCTATGAGATCTAAGAGGACATTTCCAAAATTTGAACCCTTTGAATGGAAAGGGTTCAAATTTCCTCCATCAGAGAACAACCCAAGCACCAAATTTATTAGGCTCGTGAATATGTCCTGCTATAAAGATGGGCAACATGGTTTCCAGCCCAGGAACCTGCATGGGGTGGACCCTACAGGCGCCTACATATGCACGTGACCCCACGACACTGATTAGATCATAGTGTCACCGTCATATTTTCACTACATCAATATGGCAAATCCAACATGACCCCACCATTAAATCAATAATCAATGACCTCTAAGATTAATTAGTTAGAAAGTTTACATCACTAAATATGTCTGGTCAGAAAGCTTCGTACTTGGATTCAAAAGATAAAAGATAGATTAATAAGTGATAATACAATGATATAATAGGCTTCCTCACTAAGTTCACTCAAGATAAACATGAGAATTCTTTAATCAATGAGATAAGTTTAGGAAGGGTTTTCCGACTTCACATTGGATAGGCCCGTCGTGGTTGGACAATCCTATGATTTTATGAAAAGTGTTTTATAAAAAACGTGATCAGACAACTTTACTTAAATTTTCTTGTAATTTGGTCTCATCAACTTCACGCTAAATACAATCTAAGTAGAAATTTTATGTTGTTAACCAGAAGTTAATTTTAAACTTGTGTACGTACAACTGTACAAGCTAAACACAACCATAGTGATTATTAAACGAAAAAAATAAATAAATAAGCAGATAAATATGGGGAGTAGATGAGATGAGAGTACCGACAGGTCATACCATGAATAAGTGAAAAGAGGCTGCCATTGGGGAAATAATCGTATACGAGCAGGCGTTCCTCCTTAGCCTGGAAGTACGCCCTCAGTGGGACCAAGTGTGGGTGCCTCAGCTTCCCTAGCAAGTCCACGTGTCTCCTAAACTCCTCCATCCTCGGGTACCTCGCGTCCTTCAGCCGCTTCACCGTCACGATAAACCCGGATTCCATCACCGCCTTGTACGTACTTCCCAACGTGCCCCTCCCCAGCGTCTCCGCCGACGCCTTCAGCAGATCCTCCAGGCTGTAACTCATCTGCTGATCCCCTGCTCCGCAGAACACCAAACTCCCCAGCCCCTCACCTTCCCACGAAAAACCCCCTTGTTTCCCACCATTATTACCATCACTGCCACTGGGCGGACCTGCGGGCCCCTCCCCTGATCCTCCTCCTCCTCTCCCTGTTGTCGGCTCAGCACCCCCAACAACCCCGCCTTTGCTCCTGCTTACCTCCCAACCACCGCTGCGACTCCTCCGGCAAACCATCCACAGCACGACTAAGCAGATTACGACCACCATGAACCCGCCCACGCTCCCTGCGATTATCTTTATCAGTTTCCCGCGCTTGGACTTTGACTTTGAACCCGGTTGACTGGTGGGACTGATCGACGGCGGAAACCCGATAATGCCCCCGCACGGTTTGTCAATTTGCACCCCGCAGACACCGACGTTCCCTAAAAACGACGACGCATTAAACAGAATCAAGGGTGGGGTTACCGGAATTTCCCCGGATAGCTGGTTATTCGACACGTTTAAGAACCGGAGGGAGGTCTGGTTGAGCGGCGGAATGGGACCGGTGAACCTGTTGTCCTGCAAGTACAGGACGTAGAGGCGGCGGAGCCTGAGCAGCGACATTGGGATTTCGCCGGAGATTTTGTTTCCGGCGAGGACGACGACTTTGAGGCGGTGGAGGTCGGAAATGGAAGAGGGGAAAACGCCGGTGAAGTTGTTGTCGTTTAGGAAGAGAGATTTGAGGTTGAGGAGGCCGGAGAGGTCGGGGATTTGGCCGGAGAGGGAGTTGCCTTTGAAGCTGAGGACTCGGAGCTGGTCCAGCCGGTTCAAGATCTTGGGATCCAGAACTCCGGTGAGGTTCGAATACTCCAGCACAAGCTTCGTAACTCTCCCTCTCAGGCATTCCTTCACGCCTTCCCACTCGCACACGTTGCTTCCCTGCCGCCACGGCAGCGCGTTTTGAGGGTCGATTGTAGATTTCAGAGTCAACAGAACATCCGCATCCCCTGCTTTTGCCGAACCCAGAAAAACCCAAAACAGCAATGGCAGCAATAAGAAAAAAATTTCACCTTTTTGAGAAACCATTTTTGAAAATCTGCGGATTGGATCGATTTTTCAGACCGCCAACATCTTGAAAATGCAATATTTGAACTTGGATTTTGCTGACTGAGAAAACACAACTCGGAAATCAGAATCTGAAATGTGTGTATGTATATGGAACTTTTTTGAATCTCAAAAGCGAAAAGATTTTGAACTGTTTGAGTTCACTTTCCTTTCTCAGTCTCTGCCCAATCGCTTTGCAAATCTTCAAGATCTAACACCATATTGTCAAATTTGAGTGAGCTATGTTACTATGTATGTAGCAATAGCATTATTAGCAGAAGCTGCTTTCTTTGACTCAATCGATCGCTGTGCTGCGGCTGCTGCAACTGCACCATTGATTGATTCGACAGCTTGAACCCAAAGAAATGGTTCTCTACTTTTGCTCTGAGAAAAGCACTTCTAAACTACTCTACTCCGAGCTGCGGAGGAGAAGCAATTAAGGTGCAAAAAGCCCCATTGGCGAGCTCTGCGTACTGATCAATGGGGAGACACCAAAACAGTGGGGCTTGGCAATTCGACATGGTTTCCCGGACATTTTCTCTGTAATTGTTATTTTTTTGCAGCGTAAGCTTCACGTGAAGGAAGCTCAGAACTCTGCTCTCCTCTCCATGATTTGTATATTGTTAATCTGCAGGCATTATTGAACCCGATAGAATTAAATAAAATTAAATAAATAACATTGGGCGGCTCAAAGGCTCAAACTTTTTTACCAGAGAGCGGTGAAACCTCAAGGGGAATGGGATCCAAAATTTACTCACCCCCCGAGTCGTCGAATTCATCAACTTTCAACAGGTAGCTACACCCTCCCTGAAATTAACAAGCGTCCGAAAAATGCAGATGAAAAAATGTTGAAATTGTGAAGGGCTTTGTTTGTCTTGGGCAGAAGGAGTTGATTGAGTCGACCCAGATAAATGCTGAAACTTGAAAAGGAAAATTATACATCAAAATCTGGAAAACGAATGACACATGTCTTCTGCACAGATCTATCAACAAAAAAGGGTCGACAAAAAATTTAAAAAATAATTACAAAAATAGGATAAACGAGAAGAAAATTAATTAAGCAGGAAATTAAAAGTACCTGATCGAGTCGGGCAGCAGCAGCAGCTACAAGTAGGTGTAATCGGTTAAGTGAAGGAACAAAGACTGGATGTTAAATAATAATGCGGCATCCATGTCCATGTGTGTCTCTCTGTACTCTGCATGCATAGTCTGATGGGATAGTAATGCCAAGGCCCTCCCAAAAGACAGAGAGGGGAGAGAGAGAGAGAGAGAGAGTATTGACCAAGGACAACAGATGGTCAGTGTCTTTTAACTCGGGAAATAGGTGAAAGAATTGAAAGCAAAAGATAACGCATTTAATTATTTAACACCAGGGAATAAGTATTTACTTATTATATAGTTTCACAGCCACTCGAGATACTGTTTTGATTCCAATTAATCATATGATAAGTAATTACCAGACGAGAGATTTTTTTTTTTAACAGGTAATAAGTATTTATCAGACAGGTGACGTCATTAAAATTATATTTAAGTTGTCTGCTCATAGTCCATGCTAGGCCACGAGGGGTTGAACTTACCGGCCACCTTTCTCCATCATTGCGAATTTGCGAAGAACTTACCCATGCTAAAGGTTACATGATATTCCGTATGACTTTGGTGACTTGTTCAAGAGAAACGTCGAGAAGACTATCAAAAGTGAAACTTTTCATATACTTTATATCATTTCATGTTTTTCATAATATTTTGCAATATTAACATAAAGAAAAAAACCGTTAAATTGTGAACTCATAAAAAATTCATAAAGAATCATAGTTTAAAAAGTCTTCTTAGCATTTTTGTTTGTCAAATAGGTCATGGTAACATCCCTAGGCAATTCTGTTTCCTCACTACACGTAAAAAGATTAGTATTGTACACGTGGCAAAAAGCTGGAACAAGTAATTGAGCTCACGTTATATTCCCGGCCCAGCAAAAAATGAAAAGAGAGGGGTGAGCTGATCACGTTATTTCAATGCTAATTGGTTTTGAGAATACTTCAAAGATTCAGATCACTTAATTCGATGATCTTATTAGAAAAGATGCAAACAAGATCTCTTCTCATTGGTTTTGGGCTCCAACAACTCATGCCAGTTGGCGTGGACTGGATCAATACGGTGGTTGCCGGCGGTCTTAGCCTGACGACATACCCGACTTTGTCGCCGGAGATCTAGGAGGACCCGAAAGAGATCGAATCTCCTTCAAACAAGCAATCAGTGACTAGCATCCAGCTTTTATTAGGGACAATTATAATAATACATTGGTTTGAAAAGACTAATAAAAACAAATGGTTAGAAAATCAAAATCAAAAGTCATGTCACTAAAAAGATTTATAAAAAATGAGTTTCCCATAATTGTGACGACTTAATTCAATGTCACATGGCATCCACTGAATCCGACTTTACCATTACTATTTTCATTTTTGAGGCATAACTAGAAATAATCTCATAACTGCTATAAACTTCATCGTACAAAGAACATGATGCCTATAACCACATCCATAACCAGAATTTAGAGCAAGATAGAACAGAAACGGAAACTCAATCTGCCTGCAATTGGCGGCGGGCTGCGGCTTTCTCAAGTGCCTTCAATCTATTAGCTTCCATTCGCGCTTTCTGTTCATCTGTCATATGATTTTCACTGGATTCCTTAGCCTCATTGTTTTGAACTTGATTGGTTATTTCTTTCTGGAAACTTTCTGATGCAGGTATACCAGCACTAGGAGCAACCATCTCACCATGGAACGTCTGAGACGGTTCCTACAATTAGCAAAACAAGGCACATCAAGCTCTCTACTTATCAACAAATGGAGCTTTAATCTGAACACCAAGAAAACTTTGAGTATACTAAATTGAACAAAATAGCACATACCTGAGTGGCCTTCTCGTAGATTTCGTGAAGCATCTCTTCCTGCGTATCATCCACATCATCGTTCCCTGAAGACGAACCTCCCTGGTGATCACTTGGTCCCTCAGGGTTCAAGGTTTCTGCAGGAAAATAACAAGATCAGAATTCAAAATGGAAACATAGAGAGCAATGGTTGTTCCGAATCAAATATTTCAAATACCATGATGAATAGAAAGGTACGTCAAATATCAAACAAAATCCAAAAACTTCTCATAAGAATATTTTATAGAGAACATAAGAACTCCCTACTTAATTATTAAAAAAGAAACAAAGTAACATAAAATCAACACAAGTAGATTTCCACTTATCAGTATTATTCTTGCCCACTAGTCTCGGGTAGTCCGGCAGTGATGTTGTCCCTCAACAATACTCATATTCCACTCAGCAGCCAATCCATTATCCTAACATCATATTCCTAATCGTGTTATAAACTCAACCTCTAGGCTCAATGGATCCCGTTTCCAAATCTTCTTGACAGGTCTTCTGTTAAATAGTTAGAGCAATTGCACCATTCAATCCTTCCAATTAATACCTCAACCTTTAATGATATTTCACTTCTTAAAACATCTCATTACGTGCTAAAGTAGAGCAATTATGCAAAAATGGCAGAGCATAATACCCTCTTGATCATTTGGAACGCCTTCCTCGACCGCTGTTTCACACAACTTTGTCGGGTCTCCTCCACTTGCAACTCTTTCTCTCAAATCCCTAAGAGTCATCTGCTCAACATTTGGGCAGAAAAAGAATTAGAATTTGAGGCAGACCCCAAAGACATTGAAAATAAAGAGTAAGATATCATCAGTACCTTCACTCGTCTGGTGGCGGCAACTTGTTCGACCTTATGAACAAACTGATCAAATGAGTAATATGGTAGCAATCGCGAATGCCATTGTGTGTACAAACCAATTAGATTCCCCAAATCTCTAACCTGCAAAAATTGACAAAAACAATGGCATTTTACTACAATCCTTCAGTAACCTCACACTTCAGAGAAAAACGCTTCAAAAACAATGGCATTTTACGTATAATTTAGAAAAGAAACCCATGCCGACCTTGTAATGGAAGAAGCACACCAACAAAATTTCACAAGAATCAATTAAAGCAACACGTCTGGATAACTGAGGGATTTTCTTCTGAAATTGAGCTCAAACTTGCAATTATAGAGGTTACTTTTTACTAATTTACTAACAAAAAATTAACATAGTGTTATGAATTTTCTTGCACACAGAAATGAAGCAAGAGCAGAAGTGAGATATCAGACCTCGTGTCCGCGGCCGCGATACTTGAAGGCGCGAGGGAAGTGGCGGAGGACGTAGCCGAGCCCATCGTCTGAGAGAAGCAGCTCCGGCGTCAGCTTCGGCCGAGTCTTCGGAACCGATACCTTCTTCGCCTTCCCTTCGATCCCAGTACCGGTACCGCTTTTGAAAGGATAAGAAGAGGAATTGAGATTTGTGGGGTTAGGGTTAGGGTTGGAATTAGGGTCGGGGATAGAATTGGGGGTAGGGGCGGAGGAAGGGCAGTCACGTGACCAGTGGCCTGGTCGGCCGCACTTGTAACAGCCGGTTGCTGCTGGTGCCTTGTCCATTTTCTTCTGGTTTTTGCTTTCTGCAACCGACGATCGCTGTTTTCATTTTTTAAATTTAATTTTCTGGATTTATTTTCCATTTTCAAGGTTTAGTGGCGGGAAAAATTGGAGGGAATTATGGTAGGCCATTTAAGAAAATCTGATTCTGGGCCCCTTTTAGTCAAGCCCATTTTAAATATCTCAAAATCTAGGCGTTTTTTATAGTATGACACTAACACGCGCTTAAAATTTGTCACGTGATAGGTTTCAAGGTGTTATTTCATAATCATTCACCGTTGGCATAAGCTTTGCTTGAATTATGTGTAAAAACATGAACACCTTTTGAATCGATTTGAAAGAGCTTCAGAACAAATGAATATTTCTATTGGATCTGGTTGAAAAGTATGATTATGAGACAGATGATTAAGTTAAAAAGGGTCAATGAAGATCTCAGAAGACTTGAAAAAAAGACTTTAAGAAAAGATAGAGTACTTAGAGCTAACAGAAAACTTAACGTATAACCGAGCACAACGAAGTTCTTGGATTCATATATTCGAACTCAATTAGTACGATAACGCTTTGTTGTTGTTGTTTTATCTAAAACTAGCTTTTCATTGCATCCAAAAAAACTGAACTTTAACAGAAGAAGAAATTTACAAGGGAAATCTCGTTACATACTTCCATTCCTTCCCCCCTCTCCCTCTCTCTCTTGCCATTTCTTCACAACGAATTCAAATCAACAAATCCTCTAATTCTCTTTATCAAAAATTGAGGTAAGCAAGTATCTATATCTATATATGTATCACCTGTGATAAGTTTCAGTTCTTAAACAACGGCAGCAAACGGGTTTCGCAGGCTCAAGAGCTCATGGACCAATCGTAGTTCTGGTACACAATACTTATATGCCCTCCGTCACCCAAAAGATGTGTCAAAAGACCTGCTCTGGTTGCATCCAAGTAATTCAGGATCCACTTTAGAATTTCCTTCTCTTGTCCAAAGTCGCCATCGAACCTGCACAAATGAACACACACGCACAATATTTGTTCATCCTCGGCATTGTCTAACCATCACAGTTGCTTTTGGAAATGAACAACGAAAAAGGTAGACTTGATCAATGATTACACACCATTTAATAATTTGGGTGAGGTACACGGTCCTCTTCTCCAAGTTCACTTCCATGCCGCCGCTCTTGAAGAAGTCTCTAGCTGCACATCTCAATTCAGCTTCAACTCCTTGGGGTGAGAAGAATCTTACCGTTGGGCTTGACCTTGTACCGTTACAAAGTCCGAAGTGAATTAATGGATTCACTCTAGCACAGGCAAGCTGGATTGAAGGATGAAATGAAACTTAGTACTCTCATCAGAGGTTGAGAAAGAATTTGTATGCAAACAAAATAACATGTATGAAGTTAGACTTTAGAGGGGGATAAGACAGAAGAATCGAAGATTGTTGTTCACCTCTGTACGTTTGTCTCCTGCCCCAAAGGGCTTGCCCAAGGAATAAGGAGGTCTACGGTTGTTTCTGAGGATCCCATTCTCGATACTACTGAGTGAATAAGGATGGCCTCCAACTAAATACTGGAAGTCGGAAAAGAATGATCTCCTTTCGATTACACCTTGTGGACGTCCTACCCTGATAACTGCATGGATGACCATTGCATTGTAGAGGTTCAAAAAGAAAGCTAGCCTCTCATCTTTTGAGAGCTCAAAAAGGTTTACTCGGTGAAGTTCTTGAACCAAGTTTATGTACCTGCATTTAAAGAAGGGAGGAAATTGGTGAAGCAAATTTAACATAAACAAGTAGAAATATACCCAAATTACTTCAGTTTAACAAAATAAATCCAGGAAAATGATCGACTGATCCTACCTTCGGAACTCCTCACTGTTGCTAATGCCAATGTAATCGAGATGGCGCCTGTCATCTGAGGCATAGGACTCAAGTATGGCAGACATGATCTTGGTGAGCCTTTGGCCAACTTTCGCTGCAGGCTTGGGTTCACTGTCACTTACGGATCCCCGGAAATTAAAGCATTTGGGAATAAAGGGTTCGTGCTCAAGGAAACGATAAAAATGGTTTCCATCCTCGAAATCGTTTTCCCTGCACAAACACAAAAGGGTTCTTATCGATAAAACTAAATCAGTGTCTCTGGTTTTCAATTGGTTCAACAGATTTTTTCTTACCCAAAGACATGATGAATGAAGTGCTTCCTGGCAAGCTGCCTTCCAATCTCAACTGCCTGCAGTTGTCATATGTTGTAAACACAAATCATTAAACTCCACACTCAACGGACAAACTTTTTGCTTTTTAAGATAAAAGAAACATCTATGTAATGTCTCACGTGTAATCTAAAGTACAGACTGAAAACACTCAAGGACCGAGCAATATAAAAACTAAAAAATTTCAACAAAAGACGATTAAAGAGGGACTAAATAATAATTATACGTCATAATTAAAACAAGAGGTTGAAAACTCATTATGAAACAAGGTTGGCAGATTCAACTTTTGAAATTCCTACATACGCAAAATTGGAAAAAGGACGACATATTGGGGGCCATGTCAAAAACGTTACGTCTACGCTTTCATGAATCATGCCATGAGTCGTGGCCTGGGGTGGGAAGGAGCCAAATTATATATGACTGAGTGCGTTATGCATGATATGATATGATATGCAATGGGATCCCGTCAAAGTTCAAACATATATTGATGGCTGCACCAACACAACCTTTCTTGTTTCATAAGTGATCATTTCAAGGAGGACTTATATGACACGTGTTCACCTCCGTTATGACATTTTCTAATAATAATAGAAGGACATGTCTTAATTTCTCTTTGCATGTCCTTATATTATTAACATAAAACGCTACTTTAACTGTGTACCCCTATCATACAAATTGTTCTCTATTTCAAGCCGTTGGTTACAAAACCAGTCATTCAAAAGGTATATAAAACTTCCATCAAAAACATGGTCCACCAAAAATTTATGACCTAATTTTCCACTACTTTCTCACTAGGAAAAATTCTAAGCTGCAACCCAAATTTACTCTCACATTAGTATGTCTTTCGGTTACCTGAACAATAAAATTCCTTCTTACAGGGGTCGAATTGAATGCAAAGGAGGAGCGCCAGAAAATTACCCAAAGAGAGTGGACCTAGTGAAAAGCTCCTTATAATAATAGCACTCACCCAATAATACTGTGGATGGTGGACGCCATTATTGTTTTCTGGAAATCTAACATAGTAACATGTGAAGCAAGCTTTTCACACAAATTAGGCTAAAACTTACAAAATCCAATGAAAATTTTAGCTAGTTTAGGTTGCACGATCCGTTAATTCAACACAAAACAACAAGAAAAAAAAAAAAAAAAGGTTTCGAGCCAATCAGTTAAGAATTCGAATCGTTTAAGAACTCGTTAAAGAGTCAAATAGTTATCGGGTCACTTTTAAAATATCATTTTTTCAGATCATGACTTTAGACATGATAATTTGTTTCATGACTCGTTAACCCGAAATAAAACGATACGACATGTTAACGAATTGAGTTGTTATTGAGTTGCCTAATAATAACCCGCTAAAATAACATGATTGACATGACATGATATATTAATACAACGAATATAACACGAAAACAGTTCAAACACGACAAACACGATATGTTTGCAAAAACTAAGCTAGGTACAACTAAACACTAAAATATATCAAGTAGGTTTGGATCGGTAACCCATACTATTCCTAAGCAAATCGAATAACAATTAACTTAAATCAATTATTTTTATTGTAATTTTGTATTTTAATAATCATACATCAACATGGTCGTCATGATTATGTTGGCCATGGTTGAGTGAGAAAGACGCCAAGCGAAGCCCACGGGTTTATCCGAAAGGACAACGGCCAGAACTCGCTGAATCTTTTAACGGTTACTAATTTTTTATTAGCGCGTAATCAGTAAACTGCGGCTAGTCAGCGGTTCGATACGCAGCAGGCCAGCAATTAGATTTTACTGCTGCGCGGCACAGTGTAACCAACTGGTCCCGCGGGATTTAATTTAACGATAGGATAAGAACCTGCGAGTCCAGTGGTTACGGTGGTCCGCGACACAGAGAATAACAGTGGAAAAAAAAACAGATTTGGAAATTGGTGGGAGGGTCCGTACCTTTCGACGTCCGCAGTCCAAGTGCTGAATGAGGACCTCCACCATCTCGCTCCCGGCGAAGCAGTTCTTGACGATCTTCATCTTCATCAGACGGTCCTGAATCGGCAACTTCAGCCGCAACACCCTAACTATCCCCATCACCTGGTCCGTCAACTCCTCCTCATCCAGATCGTCGAATCCGTAAACCGGCGGCGGAGGCGCATCGTCGGGACATTTCGAGCTGAGCATCTCCTTCAACCGCTGTTCAAATCCGCCGCTGTTCCTCAGCGAGTTGAGTGCCACCAGTCCTCCGAACTGCTTCTCGTTGAAGAAAATCTGAGGTACAGACGAGCTACCCGTCCTCTCCACCAGCTCCTTCTCGCGATTCGGATACACGTCGATGTTGATCTCCACGAATTTCAGCCCCTTCTCTCTCAGAAACCTTCGCACCGCCGTGCAGTCCCTGCAGTTCGACCGGGAGAAGAAGCTGATTCGACCTTTCAGCGCCGCTTGTCCCTGTGGCTGCTGGTGGTCGTCAGACTCGCTCTTGAGCTTGACCGTCACCTTGAGGCCGGAGAGATGAAACTCCGTCACGTCTTTCGATTTCAGATTTTCTTCTCCGTTGCTACTGAGGTGCTGGTCCTTCAGCGACGACAGCCTCCTCACGAACGCCGCCGAGAAATTGCTGCTTCGCTCCCGGATGAGCTTCCCAATCGCCGGCACGTCGACGCCGAATTTCTGGTTATTCGAAGCCTCGTCAGTTGGAGAATCGGGAGGCGATGAGCACAACCCGGGCGGCGCCTCTGGCTTCGGCAGGTGCGCGTGAGGACGGAGGATCCCTTCCCGTGCTGTATCGGGCGTCTCAACGGCTAATTTCACGTGCTTGGCTTTTTCGGGAGAAACCGTTTGAAACTCGTCCGACTTTTCGGTCATCGAGGTGGGCGAAACGTCGTCGTCCCGTTCTTTCAGGTAACCATTTCCATTTGCATGTGCAACTTCAATTTCCGAAAAGCCATCTCCCTCTTCCTCCTCGTAATCTTTCTGTTTCGGTATGCCGTTGGGGATAGAATTTGAACGCTTTATTGTTTTCTCGGGCTTTCTCGCCGGCACGCCGTTTAACTTTCCGGTGGGTCTACAAAATCTGACCTCAACGACATTGTTCCCGATTCCATTGGTGGAAACATCCATTGATTTCCTTTTTCGCAAGGAAATGCAAGATTTTTCTGTTTTAGGAAAAGGAAAACTGGAAACCCTAAGAGGGGGAGGAGGGGAGAGAGAGAGATAGAAACGAGGAGGGAGAAGGAGAGTGGACGAAAAGGGAAGCGAAGAAAGCAAAGGAAAAATGGGTTAGAGGGAGTTTTGTTTGTTGGAGAGGGAACGATGAAATCGGAGAGGTTTTATGGAGGAAATGCCCTGAGGTTTATCATTTATGGAATCCCCATTTTATTTTATTTATTTGTTTTATAAAAACAAGAAGAGGTCAAACACGTTGAGACAATTGAACTCTTTTGGGCCACATCCAATTGGGTCGCCGGCCCAACCTAAAAAATATCACCGACCCCACTTGAACCGTACTATATGGTTTTCAATTGGTTTTCATTTACTATAATACCCCTAGAACCTAGGGATGGCAGAAATCTCATGGATAATGAGACGTTTTTCGGTGTGTTCGGAACACGTCATATGTCGTTTTACAAGTAGAGAGGCGCTTGAAGAAGAATTCTCTGTACTTGTATAATAAGATATGGCGTATTGCTCCACATTCTGTAAACATTAAAATATACTTCCACTTACAAGGACGAATGTGGTATTAGAAACTTCTGACGCAAAACGATATCGTATTGTATGGAGGGAGCCCTATACACGATGTGGGCGGTTAGGTATTGGCATCCTATTCAAAACCGAACAGTTGACATCCCTACTTGAACCGTGATCAACTAAGGGTTTTTGGTAAATAAAAGGATTCGTTAGGAATGCCGTTAGTTTGGGTACCGGTGACTAGTCTAGATAAAAAAAAAAAAACAATTAGAATTTAGGAAGGTAGTTCCATTGACACGGCAAGAGTCCAAGTGGCAGCATAAGACCCGGCCAAATTTAGTTGATTACCTTAACAATAACGGAGATACTTAACAAGTGCAGTAGTCCTTGGATTTTTGACTTTGATTTTTTTTCAAAACATGGTCTACATAGAAATAGTCTCAAGTAGTAGGTAACAGAACATTCTTTTTTTGTTAGAAGGGTGAATACATTTATTCTTGATGTGCTCTCCACGTATTCATTTTTACTTCTCGTACATTTATTAGAATAATATTTTACACATATTTTATACCTCTTTTACTCATTATTTAGTCATAATTTTGTATTTAATTGTTGGCTTTAGTACGCTTTGTATGAGTTGGGTTGGAATTACGGTTTGAGAACAAAACATGGAATTGAACGCCTAAATACATCAAAACCCGAAGATTGTCAAATTGGACCGTGTTTAATTTTTTGGGCTGGATAAATAAGATACAAATGATGAATACGACCGGTCAAAGCTTCAAATGGTTGGTCCATTGGAATGGACTTATGCATGATAGTCCTCTCGGCGCAAGTTCCGTATTAGCAGAAAGAAGAAAGGAGACCTACAAAATTCACACTGCGCGCATACGGAAGGCGAGAGAGAAGAAAGAATTGGAGAATTCTAACTTTGCTGCGGAGTGGAGAATGGAATTTCAGTTGTTTCTTTCTTTGTTTTGAATTTCAACGTTGCGTATTCTAATTCCATCATGAAATAAATCTTTTTATTAGTTTAGGGTGTATTCTTATTATCAACTAATTCTCGTTATTTTATACCAATCTCGATTATTTTTCATGTTAAGTAACTGTTATTGTGCTTTGTCGTTATCAAATAACTGTCCATTATTTGTGTGAACAATTAAATTGTGACTAACATATTGAGTTTAATAGATTGCTTCTCATAATTGACAATTACCATGAATAATTTGACGTTAATACGAAGAACGTGGTTAGATGGGATTGAATAGGAACCTCATGTCCTAGTGTTTCCATTTTTTAATCTTTCTTAATTCATTCACTCTTGCTCTATGTTTGATCAATTGTTTTTTTTATTTGCATTTCATCTCTTTGCATATTTAAATTTGTCAGTTTAAGTCTTGTTTTATTTCATCTTAGTTTGAAGGTTATCACAATAGTAACTTTAGGTTAATCTGATTTTTGTTAGAACAACACTCTACTTATTACTATATTACTTTGATGATATTGTACACTTGAAAATTTTCACAACAACAACCCTCTCTATTTCCAGCCGTCAGATCAAATAAATAAATAAAAAAAATCAATCGGCAATAACTATGTAGTGTGATCTTTCATGTCCGTTTGAAAGTGACTAGGAGAGGACCATCCAAGTCTTCTCCGATTTTCATGGCGCAAGGTTTGTACACGGCAAATAAATAGACAATAACTTTTAAGATATCTTTAGTGGTTGTTTGGTAATGATTATGAAGGAACAAACAAATTCCTTTGGTTTGGTGAGAATCCATAATCTCTCTTTTATAAAATAGTAAAGTCCACAAACTATGAATTATAGTCCAGAAACTAATTCCAAATGTGAGTTTAGTCAAAAAAGCGCGTTTGACATCAAAGTCAAGTATTCAGGAACCTCTCTGATCTTTGTATGAGAATCTTCATGATCAACAAGTATGGACCGTTGGATAAAAATTTAATGGCTACAAATAAGAGATCCCTTTAAAGTTATAATAATTATAATCGTTGGATTTTCATCCAACGGTCATACTTGTTGGTCATGAGGATCCTCATACAAAGATCAGGAGAGGATCCTCATCCTTTTTATTCCCCTATCACTCTCTTTTATTACTATTGCTGTTCTTCGTCCTACTAATTGGTTCTCTCCCTCTCTCTAGACTCTCGTGGGTGTGTTGAGAACTTGACTGTGTGTTGCTGTGATATGGGTGCTCAAGATTTCTGGGTGGTGATTGTTATTGGCTTTTGCTTCCATGCTCAAATCTTGAGCTCCCAGAACTTGACATGCAATCCCAACGATTTGAAAGCATTGGAGGATTTCATGAACGGTATAGATTCTGCGATTGAAGAGTGGGGCAGCAATTTTTCACCTGATTGCTGTAAATGGGCAGGCATCACTTGCAATTCTTCGTCCTCTCTCGGATTGAACCATTCCATTGATACTTATAGAGTGGTTAAACTGGAGCTTCCAAAGAGAAGGCTACTGGGAAATCTCTCTGCATCTTTAGGGACCATGGACCAGCTCAGAACCCTCAATCTCTCTCACAATTTCCTCAAGCACTCGCTTCCAGTTTCGCTCTTCCATTTGCCAAATTTAGAGGTCTTAGACATGAGTTTTAATGACTTTTCCAGCCCCATTCCTGTCGATATCGATTTGCCTTCAATCCAGTACCTTGACATTTCTCAGAACTTTTTGAATGGTTCCCTTCCTGGCAGCATCTGTGACAACAATTCTACTAAACTTCGGGTACTCAACGTGGCCGCTAACTGCTTCTCTGGCAATCTTCCACCAGGTTTTGGCAATTGTACTTCCTTGGAGGACCTTGACCTGAGAGCTAATGACCTTACAGGCACAGGTGATGGTATATTTCGTCTGCGAAAGCTAACCCAGTTGAACATTCAAGATAACAAGCTGTCAGGGGCCCTCAGCGAAGAATTCGGTAACCTCATTAACCTTGTTCGTTTGGATATCTCAACTAATGGGTTTTCAGGAACTATCCCAGATGTTTTCCACAGCCTTGGAAGATTACAGAATTTTGTAGCTCATTCAAATCGTTTTGGTGGTCGGATACCCCCTTCTTTGTCGAGTTCATCGACTATCACTTTGCTTAATTTGAAAAACAATTCGTTGCAGGGCACAATTGATCTTAATTGTTCAGCAATGACTAGTTTGACCTCTCTTGATCTCGGTTCCAATCGGTTTGATGGGCCTATTCCCTCCAATCTTCCCTCCTGTCAACATTTGAATACTGTCAATCTTGCCCGTAACAACTTCACTGGCGAAATCCCAGAAAGCTTCAAGAGTTTCCATAGCCTCTCTTACATCTCGCTGTCAAATTGCAGCCTTTCCAATATCTCTTCTGCCCTTCAAATTTTACAGCAGTGTCAGAACCTGACTACTTTGGTTCTCACCTTGAACTTCTGTGGCGAACAATTTCCTGCTGATCCAACCCTTCAGTTTGAAAAGCTGAAGGTTCTTATTATTGCAAACTGTAGGCTCACAGGTGTAATACCCCAATGGTTGAGTGCTAGCAGCAGATTGCAGTTGTTGGATATATCGTGGAACCATTTGGAAGGAACAATTCCAGCCTGGTTTGGCAATTTTAGCAGTCTTTTCTACTTGGACGTGTCTAATAATTCCTTTACGGGGGAAATCCCGAGAAGCTTAACTGGACTCCCGAGCCTCATTAGTGGGAGGATCTCCATTGAGGAACCTTCCTATGATTTCCCTCTTTTCATGAAGTTGAACGTAAGTGCACGTGGGTTGCAGTACAATCAAGTTTGGAGCTTTCGGCCTACATTGGACTTTAGCAACAACAATCTCAGTGGACCAATCTGGCCGGACTTCAGAAAGCTGAGGTTGCTTCATGTTTTGGATTTGAAGTACAACGGATTATCAGGACCGATTCCGAGTAGTTTATCTGAGATGGTGAGCTTGGAAACCCTGGATTTGTCTCATAACGAGCTTTCGGGGATAATCCCGCCTTCGTTGGTTAAGCTTAGCTTCCTGTCTAAGTTTAGTGTTGCTGACAATCAATTGTATGGGGTGATCCCTACAGGAGGTCAATTTTTGACCTTCTCAAGTTCAAGTTTTGAAGAGAACAATCTTTGCCGCTACGATGTTGCGCCTTGTCCATCCGGACAGGATGATCCTTTGGGAACATGGTTCGGCAAATCAAGCAAGGATTATACCGGAGTTATTGCTGGAGTGTGTATCGGATTCGTATTTGGAATAGCATGTTTCATTGGAATAGATAGGTACGTCTGGACTTTTTAAGGAGAGTAGATCCTTCTGTTTTATGTTTTCTTTTGTATGCTCGTGACCTAATGTATAAAGAGTAGTATTTCAAAAAAAAAAAAAAAAGTATAAAGATTTGTAACTAGTAAGCTTTTGGTTAATTCTAGCATCAGATTATCTGTATGTAGCAACACTCACACACAAATGATGAGCACCACACTTGTACATAAACAGTGAGAGGTGCCACATACGAGTGTTTGTATGCAAGAACTTAAGTAATGGGAAGTGGATTCCCTTGAATGTAACAAAACAAGGTTAATTGTAAGGGATACGGTCCATACGAATTGGAAATTACTTGGGTGGAAGCATGTCCTGTGGAGCTCCTCAATTCCCCCTCTCTTACATATGCTTGACGGGTTAGATGAATTATTTA